TGAAAATTCTATTCAATGAAATTCTACCCAATAAAAATTCTTTAAAATGCCGATTATGTTAAATGAAAATTCGAGCAAATAAAAATTCTGACAAATAAAAATTCGAAGAAATAAAAGTTCTGTGAGTTGAATTTTCCGTTATATAAAAATTCTGCCATATAGAAAATCGGATTGATGAAAATTATGCCAAATGCTATTTCGAACAAATTAAAATTCGGCTCAAAACTGATTAGGACAAATAAAATTCGATAAAATGTAAATTATGACTAATGATTTTTAGAACATAATCATGCGTCCCAACTTTTCTCTATTCCGCTTTTATTAAGTTTTATTTTCGTCCAAGAATCATTCATTTTCGTTAATTCCTTCGAGAGATATTAGGTTTCAAACACAGTTTCAGAAAAAGTGCGACCTATTACGTCACACAATCTGTTTGTTTCATAAATCAAAATATTGTTGTTTTTATTTCAAGTATTGCAAAAGATTGTCATCTTTTGAAAAAATGTAACTTTGCTTTTCCTGAAGTTAAAATAGAATCGGGTTGCAATTTTTGTTGAAATCATTAAAACTGCAAAATTACTAAAACTTTTATTAAAATAAATGTTAAATAAATTTTCCTCAAAGGAAAAAAAATTACAAAGTAAAAATTTTATGGCAAACTGTACATTTTTTACATTTACGTTTAAAGTCTTGAAATTGAATATTAAACGCTAAATTATTAGTACATGGAATGCTAATTTGTTTCACGATGACACAAATAAAACTTCTAAACTTAATTTATATTTGCAAAAACAAATAACAAAATACCCAATACAACTATTTCACAGCCAGCACATACAGGAGAATTTAATTAAAGGTACATATAAATACATTAAAAAATATTAGTTTATGCAATAATAATATTTTATACAGTTTCTACACTGTCAAAACATTTTTTCATTATATACAAATTTCTATTTTGAATTCAAAGATTACTGATTTTTAAAAATTTTAATTTGTATGAAAAGTTTATAAGGGGGATTATTCCTCAATCGCCCCAGTAAAAAATTAAAAGTGGTTGGATGGACTTGATACATTGGTAAATTGTTGTCCTATGTGAAAGTAAAAAATTTATAAAATATTAACTCATTTTAAATTTTTTTTAGAAAGTTATAGGGGTTAAAGTTTTGACGTTTTGTGTGAAACTGTCATTTTCAAATTCATATAACTACGATAAAACTTTATGGATTTTAATATTGAAATAGGGTTTATGTGAAGGATTTATCGTCTACTTTTCGATGCCAAAAAAATTATCAAAAAAGAATATTACCTCCCTTTTAATCGAACTAAATCCTTTTTCAATTTTGAACCATTTTGGTATTTTAAAAATGGTTCTGTATTTATATTGAAAAGCAGAAAATTTTGTCGATAAAACGATCTAATTTCGAATAAAATGTAAAAATATAACAATTGATAAACCCTGATGTTTACTATTGTTGTTCCACTTGTATGTTTACATAGCTTATATGAAAAAACCTTAACTTTAGAATAAAAATAAAGAAAAATTAAATACTGAAATAGGTCAAAATTGACAAACAAGGGTTCATTTTAATTAAAAAGAGGTTAAAATTTTTTATTTTTTTTTCAAAAACTTTTTTTGTCACTGAAAAGTACTTAAAGAATCATTCAATACTCACTATTTGAAAATTAAAATCCATAACGTTTTGTTGTAGCTATACTGATTTCAAAATGACAGTGCCACCTAAAACGTCAAAAATTTAACCCTTACAACTTTACACAATTTTTTTAAACCAGTTAACATTTTACAAGCTTCATATATATATATATATATATATATATATATATATATATATAATAACAATTTACCAATGTATCAAGCCAATCCAAGTAAATTTTTTTATCATAATTTATTTATTTATTTATAATGAAGTTAAAGCGAATTTGACAGAGTATACTGATGTTTACATATCAATAAACTATCACTGATTATCAGCAAATTTTCTGCTGGTTTAATTAGAGATAAATTATGTAAGAAATTGTTTAAATATAAGTCTTGAATTATAATTCATATTAGTTGTGCATGTTACATTACACCGAAAAAAAAGTATTTTAAACTTAATGAATATACTTGGCACCTATTTTAGAATATTTTATACTTAATTTCAGTATGTAATATTCTTAAAATTAGAATATATTCTTAGTATTGAGTATATATTCTTAGCATTTAGAATATATACTAAGTACGAAGAATATATTCTAATTTTAAGAGTATTACACACTGAATTTAAGTATACAGTATTCTAAAATAGATGCCAAGCATATATTCTAGCTAAATTTCAGAATGTTTTTTTTCGGTATACATACCTCTTGTAGAGATGTTATAAAAGTGTGAAGAAAAGTTATTTTAATTAATTTAATTTCAGAATGAGGAAATTGAAATAACTGCTACTAATTTTTGTTTATTAAATATGCTTTCTTAACAAAATTATATTTATGTTCAATAAACGATATTCATACGTTTCTGTTGCATTGCGCTGATAGTTATTTATAATACAACCCATGTAGAAATTTTCTCAACGTTGACAATAAAAAATGAAATTGTTGAGTAGATTTTAATATTTAAACAACATGTTACAGAAAATAAACAAAATAAACTTGAGGTAATTACTCTATAAATAAGACGTTCTCTGAAAAAAAACTTTTTAGGCATTAAAAATTACATGAAAAACACTACTGATAAATTAAAATTCATAAACTGATGTTAAAAATATTCAGTTTTAAATCTAACAGCCACTTACGAAGTACTTAAATCCTATTTGTCATGGCACCACTAGAATTCATCAAGTTACTGGACAGTTTTTCTCGTGTTGGCTGATTCTAGCTAAACTTGCAAATTACTGTATAGTGGCTGACCAACACTCTTGGAAATAATTTAAGTTAAACTTGATATTTCCACGACTTAAAGCTATCCAGTTTTTTTAATGGCTTAAGTAAATTCTTAAGTACAGTGAAATATGTCAAGCATTTATTCTAATACCACTGATCAGAACGGCCGAGTTGCGTTAAGCGTGCATTTCTTTTGTTCCCGCCCAGCGGACCCGTGTTCGCTCCCCGGTACCCCCAAGATTTTTTCGTTGAAACTGCCAGAATTGTTTTAAGGTTCATGTTATGACACTCATGTTAATATAATAATTATAATTGTTTTCGGTGTTGTTAATAGTACAGTCAAGATGTGGATGTGTTGCTTCAATCGTTTCACTTATGTAATTTTTTTTAAAACCAGTTTAATTGTGAACCAAAAATTACATATAACGAATTACTATATTTAGTGCATTATATTTTGATAGAATAATTTTTGTTGATAATTGGAATTTATTTTAATTACATAAAATAAATGTGTTTACTACATTAAATCTTATTATTAAATTAATTCTAGAAATATTTAAAAGAATTAATTTGACTAGTTTTTCAAAAGTCCTATTGATCAATAATTATCAAGTTGTACTGGATAATAACTTAATAAAAATAGCGTGACATGACATTCGAGTTTTTAGCGAGCTTGCTAGTAAAGTAACTAGACGAATTCAAGCACGACTGGTCAGTTCTTTTATTACAGCTAGGACAAATTTCTACTAGGGATTCAAATCCGTATAACTTCTACAAAATTTTATGGATTTTAATTTATCAAGAGCGTTTGTTTTTACATTTTCTCTTGAACCTAATGTTGTTCCATTTTTATATTTATACAGTTTTCTTAGAAAAAATCTCAGCTTTCAAATAAAAATAGAAAAAAAGAAATTTTAAGTGAGAAAAAGGGGTTAAATATAAAAAATAAGGGTTAATATTTAAAAAAGGGTTAAAATCTTTTTTTTAAATACTTTTTTGGCATTAAAAAGTACATGAAAAACATAATAAAAAACTCTACTAGCAAATTAAAATTTATAAAGTTCTGTAGAAGTTATACGGATTTCAAAATAACCGTGTTATCTGAAAACACAAAACTTCAATCTCCTCTACATTTTATAATTGTTTAAATAATAAATTTATATTTTGAGGTTTTGTTACTTTAATGTAGGACAACAATTTACTAAAGTATCAAGCCAATTTCAGAGCTTGTTTGTGAGTAGCTTTTTTTAGAGAATACCTTAAATTTAAATTAGTATAATTTTGACTACTTTTTAATTATTACTTCAGTGGTTTATTAATAAATTAATAATTATTGTGCTCTATTTTTTAATGCATACAATTGATATTTTCTTCGTATATTTATAAATAAATTATTATATAACTTTTAAAGGAGTTTTTAAAAATTTTAAGATTGATGGCATAAAAAAAGTGTTAGGATAACTTATATTTTTTTCAAAGAACCCCGCACTAAATACACAAAAAATGGCTTACGGTTAAATTTGGCTATATTTTGAGAATTTTTAGTTGATAGTGTCCTGATTGAAAAAAAATTGTCCGGATGTCACTGAATAGTTTAGCTAAAAAAAAATGTCGAAACAACGCTACGCCTAATGAACTTGCGTATCTTGTAAGTGGGCTTGTTCGAAAGTCTTTGTTTCATCGAATATTATGAAAAACTATTATTAAAAAAATTAATTCAGTGACCTGGGGACAATTTTTTTTCAATCAGGACACTTTCAACTAAAAACTCTCAAAATATAGCCAAATTTAACTGTAAGCCATTTTCTGTGTATTTAGTGCGGGGTCCTTTCTACTGTTAGTCCCCTATATGTAGCTAAGACTTAAAACAATCCGCTGGCAATGCAATCGGAAGACGTAGTTTAAAAATGTTAAGTGCATGAAAGTTATTTATTTATAATTGTATACTTTTAATTGAATGAAATTAAATAATTTTGCACAAAAAATGAAAATCTATTTGTTGCCTAATTACTAAACTTTATTTTGAAGAAACTCATATATTTTAATATTAAGTAACACATTAGTAGCATTTAATATTAATTTAATTTTTAAATTATGTTTTAGTTGATTTTCAGTGATGACTATACAAAGGCAATGAATAAAGACTGGCATAGTGGACACTTTTGCTGCTGGCAATGCGATGAATCACTAACAGGACAACGATATGTCTTAAGAGATGAACATCCTTACTGCATAAAGTGTTATGAAAGCGTTTTTGCAAATGGATGCGAAGAATGTAATAAGATCATCGGAATCGATTCAAAGGTAATGTAAACAAATTACAAACACCATCAATTTTTAAACGCAAATTAGTGCTGCACAATTCTTTGTGACCCCTTTCAACTAATTCTATTTATTCAATATAATCATGTTTATGTTCTTCTTCTAAAAACCAATGTCCCAAGTAAAACAGTCTGTATAAAGTCTACAGACATTTCGAAAACTTCTTTATTTGAGGCCCAAAGTTTCTGTATTTTAAAGAATTTTGAACCTATCTACGTTGTTTATCAGTGGTTTACATAAATTGCCCTGGATAACACTCATTTTTCTTAATTTCACATTGGACAAAATTCTGGAAATTTCTTGCTACTTGTTGACATTTGAAATATAATTCTGATGGTGGTATAATGTCAAATATTTCCCTGTGTACATTTTCTATTCTGCAATTGTGCATCTTCACTGCAACTTCTGAATTACTCTTCATCCTCTTTCGGACATTTTCTTCAGTTATACGTACGTATACTCATGTACACAATCATGCGGCTGCACCCGAATTACGTGTGGTCCCTCGAATTGCGTCCCGAGAGGTAGCATTTAGATATTGAATTGCATGCCTTGGTCCAAATGGGTCAGGCGGAATTACGTGCGCGTTGTAAACTGTGAGCACCACTGGCTTTAAGACTTCGATACTTGTTGAAAATTTTAAGGTTTCTTTACAAAAAAAATTAAAAAATGAAATACAACGATGAGCATGCTCCAAAAAAATGTGCAAGGAATTCGATAAAATTAATAAAATAAGTATATGATATAGTTGAAAGTAATTTAAATCACAATCACGAACCAGACAGTGAGAAAACAATAAATCGGCAAAAATTAAGCAATAGTTTAAAGCGAAAAGCTGGCGACTTTAGATATAAAAACAAATAAAAATGAAAATTTCTTTATGGTACATGATAAGTCGAATAATATAGTTAAACTTTCAACTGCATTGTGATAAGCTGCCAGTCCTAAGCCTGGATGAATGCTGATTCCACTCTTACCAAATCGCTCCGTTTTTCCGTTAATGGACCGTTCACGAAGTTTCAGGTGAGTGTAGAATCAGTAAGAGTGTGAAGGGAAATAGTTGATAGTTGGCACGCAATTCGACATTTACCTGATACCCCTGGGCAAGCAATTCGATTGGGAGGGGATTATACCTGGGATTTGGCACGCAATTCGGGCTCACCGATACTCATGTACACGATCATGCATGTGACTTTTTTCAACAAATTATAACTGGTACTCGATAATACGTAACTCAAGAAAATATACACGATCTTGTACAAGAGCATGTACAGGAACTTATTGCAATTTGTGGTGTTGAACATGTAAAAATTCCTGTACACTGAAAGAAATTTCATAGGAAAAAATAACAAAATGCGTATTACATTTTAATATATTCTTTTAGAATTTAGGGAAAAGTGTACTTTTTATTAAAATTCAATATACTTTATATTAAAGTTCCAACTTAAAATCTTTTTTCAAATATTAATAATTATTGTAGAAAGAACGTAAAAAGATTACCAATATTTGAAAATATTATATTAAATTCTCATAGAGTTGTTGCATTATATGGAATGTAGCGTTCTAATATTTGTAAAACTTTATACGAAAAATTCAGAATGTCGGAAGAAAAGGGAAAAAAAGCGGAAACTGTCGGACGTTTGCGTTAATTCTCGGGAGGAAGAGGAGTGAGACTAGGAACAACACATTCACACTTATGATACAGGTTAATACACATACTAATGAACACGCACGTTCATTTCGCTTATATATACATAGACATTACACGATCGCAACGAAACCTACACTTACAATTCTATACGCATAACGATAAATTTCGCTGGGGGTCGGCATATATCGTTTTCTTATATACTAACTACTGAATATTTTTACCACTTGCGAGAAAGAAGTTTACTTATAATAACTTAATAATAAAAAGTAGTTTACTAGTGCCAATGGTGTAATTTTATAGAGGTTATGCTGGGTTCATTTTTATTATTAATTGTTTATATAGATTTTTCTTTTTTTTCAGATTAAAAATTATGATTGTTATAAAAATTTTTATTGCAAATAAAAATTAAATAATTGTAAAGATGACATCAAAAAATAAAAATTAATAAAAATAATAATAAATTTAATAATTAATAATAAATTTATTATTATTAAATAACTTTAATAAAACATTTTTTATAAATTGAAAATAAATTAGGTACGTTCTGCTGGTTAACAACACTTTCGAAAATCGGATCAAGTCGTAGAAGTTCGAGTACACGGAGAGAAGAGATTTAGTCTATTCTACTAAACACGTTTAGTCCAGATTCTACTAAACAGCGTAGTCAGAGGGACTACTATAGTTCTGTCACACAAAAAAAATTTACCGACAGAATAAAAATGCACAAATCTGATTGGTTGTCCACAATTAACCAGATTACGGACAACCAATCAGATTTCTACATTTCATTTCTGTCGGTAAATTTTTTTCTATCGATAATCGTGTAAATTTTTTTACTAAACAGTATCGTTCATTTAACTGAATGTTTAGTCCGTCCAAAATGAACGATACTGTTTAGTAGATTTAACTGAGATAGTAGTAAGATCTACTACGCCCTTCTCTCCGTGTAGGACACGAAGCCGCAAACAGACAGAACTTCGGTTAAATTCGTAGTCTCTCGGGAAAATCCGTGACTTTTAATATAAAGTTTTACAAAATGTGAAATAAATATACGGATATATGTTATTTTTCTTACTATTTTGTGAAATTATTTATTATAATATTTCGTATTCTGTGAATTCATAAAGAAAATACTAATTTTTAAAATAAATATACTAATTCTTATTTCTTAAAATAATAGTTACTCTTAAATTCATTATATATTTTCATAAAAACTGTAATAGTAATCAATATATAGGTGCACTTTTTCCCTAAATTGTAACATTTATATTAAACTCTAATATGAGTTTAATACTTAGTAGTATGAATTTTCTTTCAGTGTAAGGAACTGGTACGAGTTTAGCTACTGAAATTGTTCAGGAAGATGTACAAGATCATGTATACAGGGATTTTCAATAGAGTCCCGAACGGTTACATTTGCGATTGCATTGCGTGCCGTTTCCCAGCCCGCCTTCCGGAGGACTATGTGCTTAACGATTCCTACTTTTCCCTTTCAGAAATTTTCTTATGTACATAATTGATAATAAATTTAAAATCAGTTGTCAATAAACGTTTGTTGTATTTGTTAGGAATACTTTATTTTGTGTCTGTTTAAGTTATATTTTTGAAATGGATAAATTTTTCACTCATAGAGGTTTATAGAGGTTTTGTTAATAAAAGTTTTACTTTTACGTAATAAGAAATTTTATTTATTTAACAAATATCCAAAATTTTTATCGTTCTAAGTTTAATGAAAAAAGTCTTTTATTATTGTTTGTTTTTTAGTTTTACTATTCTTAACATAGATAGCAAACGAGTCAGGATTAGCGTGGATGTGTGTAAGGTCTTCGAAATAAATGTATATTTGAAAATATAATACAGTTTAATTAATGATTTGAAAAGTAGAATAATAACGCACAATTGTTTGTATTAAAATTAAGATTTGCACAACGCTCAGATCTTATAATCGCAGTAAATCAACCGCTCAAACACACTGTTATTTTGATTTTGATACTGACCGCAAGGGATCTACACTATAAAAAATTTTTTGGTTAAAATTCCCCAAAATTCTAGTGACGCAAATTTGCAGGACATTTTGTGGAAAATTCCCTAAAATTTTCTGGGGAAACTTTTCCCTAAAATTTTAGGGAATATTCCACAAATATTAGTGAATATTCCCAAAAATTAATATCAGTAGTTTAAAAAATTGAAATAAAAATTTTAAAATTTGATTCATGTACCATTTATATCTTACTTACATTATTTATTGGTACCTATTGATGAAAATTTGTTTTCTTGAAAATTATCAAATATTATCATGAAGTCTCAAACGTAAGCGTAATTAGGAGAGATTTAGAAGTCTAACGCTCTACTAACTACGCCACTGAGGCTCATGAAAATAAAATGATAATTTCAATATATAAGATGAAACTATGTAAACATGCTTTGTAACTTTAAAAAAAGGAAACAAACGTTGAAAATAGTTGTGACTTATGTTATATAATAAATAAAATAAGATCTTTTAAACAAATATTGATTAAATTTTAATTTAATTCTTTAGAAATATAAATTTTTGTCTACTTAAAAATACTTATTTAGTTAAGTTATAATAATTAACTTATCTATGAAATGAATAAATTATATTACAAGTTACGGGTGCAGTTCCGAATAGCACATACCTCCGATTTCGATAAAACTTGGTATCCCTACGTAATTTGGTGCGCTGATTACGAAAATCATAGTGAAAATTGGCGGAAATTTAATTATCATGGTAAAAACCATAAAAAACACCATAAAATCATGGTTTTTTACGATTATCTCGTAAAAAACAAAAAATTTCGAAAAAAGTTTTAGACAAAAGTTGTAGATCTCTAAAAAACACACATTTCATGTTTTATGCATTTTTTACCAAAAGTCATTATTTTTCGAGAAAAACGCAAAAAACTTCTAAAATACAATGAAAATTACGGAAACTGATATTATAACCCAATCTGATTTCATATTAACTTTAAAATTTTTTATTAAATAAAGGTTTAAGTTAGCCCTGAAAAGGGCTGATTGATAAATTGTTGACTCACTTGTTAGCCCTGAAAAGGGCTGATTGGTAGTTTATTGATCATGTAAAGTACTGACTCACTTTTTAGCCCTAAAAAGGGCTGATAGAAAAAATGTTAGTCCTCAAAAAGGCTGATTGTTTCTGATAAATCAGTTTATGTGGCCTGGATAACAGAATTTAATGTCCTTTAATAACTGAGAGAAGGGATCTATTTCTAGTTTTTTAATTCGTCGACGCCAAAGAAATTCGCATAAATGATCAGCTAACTTGTTTTTATGAACACCGCCGCGACTGAGAGATCGTCTCATCCAGCGCCAAGAAGACTCTATGTTTTGTGTGTGAGCTCCTGTTTCGTGGTTAACAAATTCTTCGGAATGGTTAACAGTTTTGTGGACATAACCTTCATTTTCCAGGTTTATGTAACCCTTCCAGCAATCGGTATGGATCTCTGTCCCGACAGCAACGTGCTTTTTAATCAAATCAATTAACGTAGTTTGATCACGTCTGTTGTCAGGACAGATTTCCAACCGATATTTGGAAGGATGTCCCCTGTGGATCATTCCCAAGATCCAAGAACCTTCAACTACACGACCTCTCTGATATTTTCGACGTCCGATCTTACATTCGTCGATTTCAACTATTTCACCGATGCCTCCAATTTTTCCCTCTTCTTCCAGTTGCTGATCAAGTGCAACCATGCAAATTTCTCGACAGAAAGAGAATCGATCAGCAACTGTCTCTCGTGACAATTGCTGACCTTCGATTATACTTGATTCTCTTAAAGTCTGCTCAAAACTAAAATTGATCGCAAAGCAATACGTCATCAAAATGCAAGATGCTGCAGAAATATGGGTATTCTCAAACCACGTGTTCTCTGCAACACTCACAGTGTGATTATATTTATTTTTTTTTTGGCACACGAATTGACCACATTGGTATTTATCCTCGTACAATTTCATATTTTTTTGGTGCTTAGTACAATACCTTTCGGATGGTATGAGCTCAAAATCCCGCAGCCATTGAAGTGTTCTTCCGCGATTTTGCAAAATTGAACTCAATTTGAAAATATTCCAGGTCTCGTCCATTGCTGCACTCTAAATAAAAGTATACGCTAAAATCAAGCGAAATAGGAAATCATATCCAACCAAAAACACCATGATAATGAAAACCTATACAACAGTCATGGTTAGACATATTATTTGACTCGCATATAGTATCATATTCACCATTACTCAGGATCCAACGAATTCCGCAAAATACTTTCGGCCATATCCACCCCCTCTCGCCAAGGTTTTTTTAAAAAGAAAAGCGAGCAGTACCTTACGCGGCCGAAGGCCGTGTTTACTATTTTGCGTTTACCGCTGCTGTAGACTCCACCATACAATTTCTGCAAAATACTTTCGGCCATATCCACCCCCTCTCGCCAAGGTTTTTTTAAAAAGAAAAGCGAGCAGTACCTTACGCGGCCGAAGGCCGTGTTTACTATTTTGCGTTTACCGCTGCTGTAGACTCCACCACACAATTTCTGCAAAATACTTTCGGCCATATCCACCCCCTCTCGCCAAGGTTTTTTTAAAAAGAAAAGCGAGCAGTACCTTACGCGGCCGAAGGCCGTGTTTACTATTTTGCGTTTACCGCTGCTGTAGACTCCACCCCACAATTTCTGCAAATTACTTTCGGACACATCCACCCCCTCTCGCCAAGATTTCTTAAAAAGAGAAGCGAGCAGTACCTTACGCGGCCGAAGGCCGTGTTTACTATTTTGCGTTTTTCTCGAAAAATAATGACTTTTGGTAAAAAATGCATAAAACATGAAATGTGTGTTTTTTAGAGATCTACAACTTTTGTCTAAAACTTTTTTCGAAATTTTTTGTTTTTTACGAGATAATCGTAAAAAACCATGATTTTATGGTGTTTTTTATGGTTTTTACCATGATAATTAAATTTCCGCCAATTTTCACTATGATTTTCGTAATCAGCGCACCAAATTACGTAGGGATACCAAGTTTTATCGAATAAAAAATTTTAAAGTTAATATGAAATCAGATTGGGTTATAATATCAGTTTCCGTAATTTTCATTGTATTTTAGAAGTTTTTTGCGTTTTTCTCGAAAAATAATGACTTTTGGTAAAAAATGCATAAAACATGAAATGTGTGTTTTTTAGAGATCTACAACTTTTGTCTAAAACTTTTTTCGAAATTTTTTGTTTTTTACGAGATAATCGTAAAAAACCATGATTTTATGGTGTTTTTTATGGTTTTTACCATGATAATTAAATTTCCGCCAATTTTCACTATGATTTTCGTAATCAGCGCACCAAATTACGTAGGGATACCAAGTTTTATCGAAATCGGAGGTATGTGCTATTCGGAACTATATCCCAAGTTACAAATAACTTTTTGTAACTTAAGTAAGTTTAAAGTTTAACTTTTTTGAAAAAGGATTTCAAAAAAATTGAGGAATATTCACCACTTGTTTTTGGGGAAAAATATATTCATTGGAATTTTGAGAAATTTTCACCAACTTTTTTTAGGGAAAATATATACATTAGAATTTTAGGGAATTTTTACCAAAATATAACGCACAATTGTTTGTATTAAAATTAAGATTTGCACAACGCTTAGATTTTATAATCGCAGTAAAGAAACTGCTCAAACACGCTGTTATTTTGATTTTGATACTGACCGCAAGAGATCTGCACGTTCACACTAATTTTTCGTATCATTTCAGTAATTTTCGTACTTATGAATTATGATTATTATTTCCCTCACGCACTCAAATGAGGTTCGCTATCAACATGTTTCTCAAGCTTATAAATTTTGTCCAAAACTGATTTATTAATATTCGTCAAAAAATTTGTGAATCGTCTCTAGTGCACTTAAAACTTCTTGTTGTTTTGGAATTAAAACTTACGTGATGGTCGAATTCTCGTCTTCTTCACTGCCATGCCACCATCATCAATATCAACATTGTTGTTTTTGTCAATAACACAATTTGCAACAATGTCGTCGTCTATCTGCTCTTCTGTGATAGGCACAATATCGTCAACTCGTAAAAAATCCTCGAATGTTATAACATTTTCTTCGTCAGACATATAAGAGTGTTCCACTCCGCGTTACTAGAAACAATTTCAACCACACTTTATTTTGGCCTCTATCCCGTTCTAGTCCAAAAACCAGCTTTTTTGAAGCAATTTTTTATGGTCACATCACTGATAGAAAACCACGCTTTTCTTAAAGTATGTTTGACTACTTTTATTCGGTAGTGGCGTTTAAAAGCGTCTTTACATTTTCTGAGAAAGAGCAAGTGAGCAGTAAACGAGACGCTATATGGAACGGTGAAATGAGAATATTACTACAATATAGCAAATAACTATTGGAGTTTTTAAATATTTTAATCCATTTAAATATTTGATGTAATTGGTTAGAAATTAATAACAAGAGATTGATGCATACTATTATATCGTCTTATAAATATAGTGTTTTAAATTAAGATATACGTGCTGAAATTATAACTTTCTTTTAGGATCTCTCTTATAAGGATAAACATTGGCATGAAGCTTGCTTCCTGTGTAATAAGTGCAGAGTATCTTTGGTTGATAAGCAATTTGGAAGCAAGGTAGATAAAATCTATTGCGGTAACTGTTATGATGCCCAATTTGCTAGTCGATGTGATGGTTGCGGTGAAATCTTCCGAGCTGGTAAGAAAAAATTTTAATTAAATATATTACCGTCAAAATATCTTCTAATTCAGAGTAACCAGGTAAAAATTTTAACTCGGTACTTCTAGATACTAAGCAGACAATCTGACAAGAAACTGGTTAAAATTATAACACGCTGCTTTCGCAGTCACTGGTTATATAGATCATTTGTCTATTGACTGGAAATTTTTCTGGTCAAAAATAACCCTTATGAAAAAGTCCTGACTAGTAAAATCCACATCGGAACATATGTATATTGAATTCCACGTGGGAATTCATAAAGATTCCTATATGAATATAATTTTTCAGAATTTGAAAATTAATCTAGTAATATTTTAATTAACATTTTTGAGATAATCAAAAAAATTTAATTTTCAAAATATCTTGAATCCTATATGGGATTTTATGTAGGATCCCATATGGAAACCAATAAGGGATTCCAAGTGGATTCTCACACGAAATTGTCTGAAATTCCGGTTTTTCCAATAGGTCGATTTACTGGGAATATTTGCTTTATTTAAATGAAATATTTAGAAATGGGTGTCAAAATATTTTAAATATGAAATAAAAGTTAACGTAACTACTACGGAAGTATCTAAAAAATTTAAATTAAATCTAAAAAGTGATTTTCCTCAAAACCGAAGTTATCGATGTTTGATTTTTTTTAATCCATTCTTTGATAAATAAGGAATTTTTTTCTCTGTTATGCGAAAGTTGTATTTTTTGCAGCAAAAATACCATTAAAATTAGAGGTTGTTCATAAGCTACGTATCACATTTTTTACCTTTTTTTGACCCCTCTCCTCCTCCATGTCATACACCAGCGTAACTTTTTCTGCTGGTTGTCACAAATTTACTGATCCCCTCCCCCATAAAGTGTGACATAATGTACCACTAATGTTTAAATCTTTATTAGATTAAAAATATTTTTAAAAAACTGCTTTTGATTTACCTAAGGGGTTATTACCACATCTCAGTGACTTTTCTTACACACTTTTTTTTATTACAAAATTTATTTTATTTACTTCAAACTTTTTATACCTGAAAGAAGGGGTTTTAAACTATTAAAAACACAGTATAAGGTATAAGGGTTTTCGGGTTTGCTGATTACGAATATAATGTTAGTTTCTCAAAATTCAAAATGGCGGATCCAATATGACTAACGAGTTTCTCAAAAAATTTATTTAAGCTCAAGAAATTAACTATTCAAGATTTTTTTAAATATACTGAATACGAAACTAATGTAAGTTTTTAAAAATTTAAATTAATTATTCCAAAATAGTGAAAAAAATTCAAAACTATATTTGAGATCGTAAATATCAATGTCTAAAAATTAACCATCTGTTTATTATTTAAATTTTAATCATAAAATAATAGAAAAAATGTTACTATTATTATTATTATTATTATTATTATTATTATTATTATTATTACGTTTAATTTCAATTTATTTAAATTATGTTAAATTAATATGTGACCTGGGCAGTTAAAAGGGACCTTATGTCCGAAAAAATAGATTTTCACTTTTTTGATGATTCTTATAGAAAAAGATGTGCTCTTTTCAATGCAACAAACCGCGCATCTCCAGCTTCATTAGTCTTTTTACGAATGCGCTTCAAATATGGACACAAATGGTTAAAAAAATCGTAAAAAATTTAAGTAGAAAATAGGTGAATAAAAATTGATCAAATTAGTTTAAAACTCTTTACTTGGAGGTTTATGAGGTCGCTGATTACATATCTGACATTAGATTTTCAAAATTCAAAATGGCGGTTAAAAAAATTAAAAATTAGTTGAATGTGCTTAAAACTTCTTACTCGGGGGGTTTTTCAGGTCGCTGATTACGAATTTAGCATCAGATTTTTAAACGAGTTTTAAGCAAATCCGATCAATTTTTAAATAATTTTTTTTAATAAATTGTTTATAAACAATTAAATTTTTTTACGTTCTGCGCCTTTAAAAATTCAAAAAAAATCCTAAAATATTCTAAAACTCTAAGGAATCGAAATCCATTGAGAAAATTTATGTTCAGTTATTATTTTAATAGTAATGATAAAAATTGTGTTGCGCGGCATACAGCATTGTCGTGACGCTCAACCGTATCTTTTGGCGTGCGCGTTTTCAATAAGTCAATTAATTTAATTAATAATTAATAAATAATTTTAAAAAATACAATTGCTTACTTATTTATCAGCGCATATAGATTTTTTTCCGATTTTTCGTTTTGTTATTGTTCATGCTATAGTAAATATTAGTAAAGTATAAGAATAATAGTATAAGTATAATAGTAGGTATAAGTATAATGGTATAAGAATAATAGTATAAGAATAAATTTAAGGTTATGTTGTCTAATATGCTTGAAAGTGTGCAGCAAAGAGTACTTTTCTGTTCACTTTTTACTTTGCTGCACACTTTATCAGAATGGAGAAATCAACAACTTTGTGCAGCATTTACACAAAATAATTTATATTTACAATTTTTGCCCGCGTTAATATTGAACATTCAAACAGATTCACACACAAAGTCATTCATTTATTCATTCATTCGCACACAAATATAATAATTTAGGACGTAAGCGTGAATTATACATAAAATAAATGGAAAAGTGTATTAAAATAGATATAAACAATTATGGAAATATAATACTCATCGCCTCATAGCCTTATCTTAAAACTTTATTTGTCCCTTCTTTTCGTTTGTTAGAAATCGATCGTCTAATTTTCCATACAGGATCCTTAATTTTGCCCTGACCAATTTCCGCGCATAGATTATAGAAAAACGCCACTCTTGAGGTCTACGGCGCCGGACTTTGCGTAAGGTGCGAAATTTTATATATAAATTTGAAAAGTAAATAAAAAAAAGAATTAGAGGGGCGATTATTTAATATCGTGACAAAATTTCCCCCAACTCAACCATTTCTCGGAGTCCACAACGCGTTTCCTCGAAATCTGTCGATTATCAAGCAACCAAACTGGTTGCCTACACACAGGCGCACCGATACATATAAACCCCATAATATAATCAAGGAATTTTTCTACACACTGCACTCTTTTTTACTAATATTACAATTTTTAGAAAAAAAAAACTAGTGGGAAAGAAAAAATTGTAAAACTTTGTAAAAAGTACACAATGGAGAAATAAAATCTAATCTAATCTAATCTACTAATATTACAATTATTACGTGTAATACATTGTATTACAAAAATAGTAGTGTATTACACTTTATTAAAATTAGGCTTTATTACTGTCTAAATTTGAATAAGTTAAAAATAACAATTACTAGTAAAATTATTGCTCAATTTTTGCTACAGCAATTAGTGAAATATAACTAATTAATAGTAAGAAATAACTAAAAAAAGAGTCTGATGTTATTAATTTACTAGTTAATTTATTTATTATCAGTATTATTGTTTATTTATTTAATTATTACTTAATTATTTATTTACTAATTACTAGAATTTCTACTTACATTTAATTTTCTTTATCGTAATCAAAAAATGGATTCATCTAATAAATTAATTATTTTTAACATAATAATTAGTGGAAATCTAAATTAAATCAGTGACTCACTTTCTGCATCAGAAATTTTATGGGGAGTAATCAGTGAAATTTTAACCCATCGAAATTTTTCTTGATTCGCAGTGTCAATTTACTTTCTGACACTATTACTTATTTGAAACTATTCAAACTATTCTCCCTCGGCCCTAAATTTGTTCTTTTTTGTTACGTAAAATACGTAATTTTTAATATCGAAGACGCTTCGATGCCTACACATTGTTTTTCATAAGAAACGAAAAATTCAATTTTTTAATGCCTATTTAAATTTTTTTTGCAAAATTCTTAGAAAAGTGTCCAGATTTAAAATATGAAAGAAATTTAACAGTGAGAGTACCTTTGGGTTAAAAGTGTTATAGGAATGTGTCTCACTGCTTTCCTACACAGAAAAAATAAAATCTCAAAATAAGACGATTTTTTTTCTTTATTTGAGAATATTCTGATTAAAAGATAACTTTTAATCATTCATCTTTGATTGAAATTTATCTTTTGTATTAAAAAATTTTTTTCTATAAAATTTAAATTATATGCCTCCCTAAATTGAAACATTCTTTTGATAGAATAAAGATTTTTTAACATTTTTAAATTAGTAATATAAACTCTTATCAAAGTGTTGTATAATTTTAAACATATATCTATTAACAAAATTTGAATCGACTTTATTATTTACAATTTATTTCGATTAAAATTTCATATTAATTTTTTAAATAATTTATCAAATATTAATTACAATTTAAATAACTACGCATCATTTAAGAAATTTGATACTCCAATGTGCCATAAAGAACTCAATATATATGCATGCTCGCCTTTTAACATCGACATACTTCCGTTTCTTGGTTACTTCAACTCAAACGAATAACAGTGTCCTTTCAGTGCCTTCCAAAGCTTCGACTGAAATACATGCGTGACGGTTTTTGACACAGTACGCACGTCGTGTGACAACATATAACAGTTTTATTTTTTTCTAAATAAATAAATATTTTTTGTTTTATATACTTTTTTGTTTCTGCATTCTTAGTGCGAAAAATGTTGATTAATAAAAAATAAATGTCATTCGCTGTGCGCGTAAATTTAAACAGTGTTAATTCAATAATAACTTAAAATGAGAATTGTTTTGAAAAAATATTTAAATAAATTTGATTTAAAAATAAATTAAGATAAAGTAACTTTAAGTTAGAGAGAAGTTATTGTATAATTATATAAAAAATTTCTTATAATGAGGAAAACATTTTTATTGCATTAACATGAAATTAAAGAATTAAAAATATTCAATTTCAAATTATGAAATTTTATTATTTATTATTATTAAAACTTTTGTGATATTCAAATTTACTTATCCACAGCACTAAAACCAGGCAGCAATATTGCAAACATTGCGTTAATATTAAAATATTTTTCAACATTGATGAAAAATTTGCAATGTTTCTGCAATTTAAAATAATG